CAAGACCCAGTGCCATTGTCAATGGTTTCTCAGTCAGCCCGCATGTCAGCTACATTCAGAGACTCCGGTTTGATCACATGCTCTTTCAGTCCCAGTCCAGCTGGCCTTGGTGAGCTCTCATTAGATCAGTCCCCTTGTATCAGAGGGTGAACGCACCCCTCGCGGTCCTGATTTCCTTTTTCATGGTCTCCCTCATTCTGCTCCTCATTTGAACCTTGGGGGCTCAGTCCAGTGCTCCAATGTGGGTCTGCGTTTCTATCTCCATCTATCGTCAGATGAAGGTTCCCTCTGGTCCTGCCTTTCTTGCTCACATATTCCCTCCTTCTGCTTCTCATTTGGACCTAGGGAGTTAAGTCCAGTGTTCCAATATGTGTCTCTCTGTCTCTATCTCCATTCATCGCCAGATGAAGGTTCTATGGTGATATGCAAAATATTCATCAGTATGGTTATGGGCCAAGGCCAGTTCAGGCATCCTCTTCTCTGCTGCCCAGGGAACAATCTGGGGACCTCTCCTTGGGCCTGGGAACCCCTCCAGAATCAAGTCTCTTGCAAACCCTAAAATGGCTCCCTTAGTTGAGATATTTACTTCCCTGCTCCCATATCCATCCTTCCTCCCTCCCCCCCATACCATTCCCCTAAGCCATCCCCAATCCTCCCCCTCTTCCTTCTCTCTAACCATCTCCCCTTACTTCCACCTCCCACCCCCGTGCACCCAAGTTTGCCAGGCAATCTTGTCTACTTCCAATATCCAGGAGGATAACTATATGATTTTCTTCAGGTTCACCTTCTTATTTAGCTTTTCTAGGATCACAAATTATAGGCTCAAAGACCTTTAACTATGGCTAGAATCCACTTATGAGTGAGTACATACCATATTCCTCTTTTTGGGTCTGGGTTACCTCATTCAGTAAAGCGTTTTCTATTTCCATCCATTTGCATGCAAAATTCAAGATGTCATTGTTTTTTACCGCTGAATAAAACTCTAATGTGTATATGTTCCACACCTTCTTTAACCATTCTTCTATTGAGGGGCACCTACGTTGTTTCCAGGTTCTGGCTATTACAAATAGTGCTGCTGTGAACATAGTTGAACAAATGCTTTTGTAGTATGATAGGGCATCTCTTGGGTATATTCCCAAGAGTGGAATTGCTGGGTCCTGAGGGAGGTTGACTCCCAGGTTCCTGAGAAACCGCCACACTGATTTCCTCAGTGGCTGCACAAGTTTGCATTCCCACCAACAATGGATGAGTGTTACCCTCACTCCACATCCTCTCCAGCATAGGCTATCATTAATGTTTTTGATTTTAACTATTCTGACAGGTGTAAGATGGTATCTCAAAGTGGTTTTGATTTTCATTTCTCTGATCACAAAGGAGGTAGAGCATGACCTTAAGTGCCTTTTGGCCATTCGAAGTTCATCTATTGTGAATTCTCTGTTCAGTTCAGTATCCCATTTTTTAATTGAGTTAATTAGAGTTTTAGTGTCTAGTTTCTTGAGTTCTTTGTATATTTTGGAGATCAGACCTTTGTCTGATAAGGGATTGGTGAAAATCTTCTCCCAGTCCAAAGGTTGCCTTTTTGTCTTACTGACAGTGTCCTTTGCTTTACAAAAGCTTCTCAGTTTCAAGAGGTCCCATTTATTCATTGATTCTCTTATTGTCTGTGTTACTGGGATTCTACTTAGGAAGTTGTCTCCTGTGCCTATGTCTTGTAGACTACTTCCCACTTTCTCTTCTATCAGGTTCAAAGTGGACAGATTAATGTTGATGTCTTTAATCCATTTGGACTTGAGTTTTGTGCATGGTGATAGATATGGATCTACTTTCATTCTTCTACAGGTTGACATCCAGTTATGCCAGCACCATTTGTTGAAGATGCTTTCCTTCTTCCATTGTATACCTTTAGCTCCCTTGTCGAAAATCAGGTGTTCATAGGTTTGTGGGTAAATATCCGGGTCTTCTATTCGATTCCATAGGTCGACTTCTCTGTTCTTGTGCCAATACCAAGCTGTTTTCAATACTGTCGCTCTGTAATAGAGTTTTAAGTCAGGGATGGTAATGCCTCCAGAAGTTCCTTTATTGTATAAGATTGTTTTGGCTATCCTGAATCTTTTGTTTTCCCATATAAACTTGATTATTGTACAAAACCAATACAATAGTTTTGCTTCATCTTATTATATTTTATTTAATAAATATATATTTTATATATTTAATAAATATATATTTTATATATTTAATAA